GGGTCTCGGCTGAGCACAACAGTTGGGAACCAGAAGCTAACTTTACCCCTGACCTAAAACCTCTGCTGGAAGAAGCACGGCAACGAGCACGGGCAAGGTAAGATTTGCGGGTTAAAGGTAAGTGTTTTAACTCCCGCGCGTTTTTGGCCCGATTTTTGCTCTGCCAGTTTCTTGCCATGCATCGAGGACGCTGCATCTAGAGGGGGGATAGTTGTTGTATTCCGCTTCTTAAATCTGGGTCCAAACTGATACATTTTTCTGTCTAATTTTTCCTTTCTCGCTTGGCGCGGTTACTGGACAAGTTCGCTGGAACTAACTGAATTCCAACTGCCTATTTTGCCGCTTTTCTGTCAGATCTTTATGGCTCCGACCTCTGGGTCAGACGGCGAGCGGGAAGCTGTCATGGATGCCAACAAGTAAACGCCGCCTCAGGCGGAAGTCCATACTTGCAGAAGTATGGGCGGGGGTCGTAGCACAGGCTACGACTGGGACGCTGGTCCCTGGCTCGCGGAGCCCCGTCATCGATTGGAAGCATGGATCAACGGTACGCCATTCCGGACTGGACCGCGCCTTTTCGGAATTGGCTGTACGATTCATGGGATGGCCGCATCCTCCGCTATTTAAGCGGGTGAAACTCTTCCAAATCGGTGTCTTCCGACGCCACCATCCAGTTGTGGTTTAGTAAGATACAACACAGGGCTTGTTGTCTAGCTCAGAGAACTTTACAATGTTCCAATCATGAACGATCTGATTAGGTAGTTCTGTTTAGAGCCGTAAAGCGACTTTTCCAAGCTCGCTGCCGGCTATAAATACCAAAGTCACACTGTCGATCACAGGAGGCCCTCAAAAGATAAGCCTCGAGTACGACCACGACGTATAGTCCACAAATGACACAAGTGAAACCACCTTATAATCGTGTGACAGAACATTCACACAAGAAATAAACAATTCACAAGTAAAGTACATAAACATACGCGAACGAGCGTACATTCTCGTCTCGTCCATAAGTCCATCAGCGAAGTGTAAGATAAGAACCAAACACCTTACGCGATTATACACGAAATTCGCGTATTCACACCGATTATAACCTAAGACGATTATAAAAGACGGTAAAATGAACGTGACGCTAAAATGTCGTGACACGTTCCTGTCCCTCGGGGGCCCAACCCCTCCACCCCTTCTGTGGGCCCGATCCCCGCTCTTGACTTGTCTCACGCCCCCGGCCTCTCTGATGCTGCCCCCCCGGTAGGCTCCCCCCCGCGCCTGGGTCCTGTCTCCTCTTTACGTCACGCCTACCTCACCTACCTTCTTCTGCCATCCAGGCACTGCCGGAGCCTACTCTGCCCCAGCTCTTGGCCGCGCGCGTCCGCCCCACTTCCGTACCCTCTGCCGTACTGGACCCACCTTCCAGCCGTCAGCTTTATACCGTCTCCCTCGCGAAGGCCGCCACCGTCTGCGACAACTCGTTGGCTCGT